TCTCTTCCCTAATTCCGTTCCATCTTCACAGAAGTATGTGCGAGAGCAAAGTGAGTATAGTGGGGAAAATCCGAGGGAGTAACGACCGAAATAAATAGGATATGTGATTATTACGCTTTACTTTTATATAACCTCGGGAGACGGCAAGCTGGAAAACGTTCGCAGAATGCACACACATATCCTCCACGATCCGTACACACTTACACTTATACACACACACTCACATTGTACCACTCCCAGATACACACTCGCACGTCTCCCCTTTTGTTGGAAATGTAACGGGAAAACGTTCGTCCGTAAAAAAAAGGGTCAGGATTTGAAAAGCGGATTTTGCACAGCGCCCCATTGTGGAAATGTGTATTTTTAGTGGGCTTAATGGTTGCCGGGTGCGAAAGTGCGCCAAGATGAAATCATAAATGCATCGGCCAGACTAAATATGAAAAAAAAAAAAAATATGTATAGACGGCGGAGGATGAGAAGAATGACAAAAAAAATATTGGAAGGAGGAAACGTCGGCGGCGGCGATCGACGCGTCCGTAAATTATCGAGGGGCTTAATGGTTGTAGGAAAGAACAGAAAGAAGTGCTCCTTGCAAGAAGGAAGAAAAAAGGATACAAGAGTAAGGAAGATGGATTCAGGACGACGCGACGTGAATACTCGCGCCGATAAGATCATTAATGACAGACACCATTAACTAGCGGAGTTTATTATTGTAAAGCTCCGAGGTATTCGAAAAGTAATTTTCCATTGAACTACAGTTTTCGATGCTGCTGCCACCGCCGAATTTACATTTAACGCTCGACTGGATCGCGATTATTATACAGCGTCCGACGTATCGCTGCAATAACTGTAATCTGTGCATTATTTCTTCTGATTCTCTTGGAATTATACGATATTGGAGACCGCCACCGCCACCGCCGTCCAATTCGGGATAGATAATAGATGTATATACTTTATCCTCCGGAGAAAATTTATTGGATTCATGTGTATGTTACTCTGCTCAGGGGTCAATATATCTAAATCACGGCACGCTATTCCTTCCCATGTATGAAGAGGGTTTTCGATAGACCATCGATTCATTACCGTCCTGACATGTACACCTTATTTATTTCGCAAAAAGAAAATGCTGCTGCTGCTTTAGATGAGAGCTCATTTTCATTTGCAACCACTTTACAAAATTGTTAGCAATCAAAAAAAGAAAAATAATCTTATCACAATTCTTATATATTTTATAAAATATCTTCAAATTCACATGTTACTAAACTGTTTGTTGTAAGTTTTTGGAAGCATATCTACTTTTGTTGATTTCTCAATTTTAGATAAATTAACATAGTCGTAGTGTTATATACAAACAAAGAAGTAAAAATCTTCCTAATATTTTTTTTCGAGGAAAGTTCAATATTTGTACAAAATTTAAAAAAAAAACATAAAATATAAACGAAATCACAATCTCTATTAAAAAAATAAATAATTAATAATTTAATCATAATTATCAACAATTTATAAACTTAACAAAACACAAAATAGAACGTGTGAGAAAAATATGTTTGTCTCATTCTTTTATTTTTCATATTTTAGTAATCTTTACTTAAATAATAAAGTTTAAGTTTGTTATATGGTTTTTGTTTTTACAATTTTTAATTAATTATTTAAAATTGAAGAGGAACAACGTTAATCCGATCGCAAATTATCAACGAAGCTTTCCCTAAATCGGATAGACCTTTTCACCCAATTAGTTCGGATAATCTTGGTTACCCTATTTTTTGTTGCTAAACCTTAAACAAAAAGTGACAAGCTGCGTTAAAATAACTTAATATTAGATAATAAAATTAAACGATTTTCGGTAGCAAAGTTTCGAAAAATTTGAATACATAATTACTGAAATTCGAAAAGTTCCGCAAAGTTTTGTTGTTGAATACACACACAAACAAAAGTGGTACGTACATACGTATATAGTCTTCCCGTTGTAGAACTTGCATTATTATGCCGACTAAATCTTACTGTTGCGTAAACGTCACGAACGTAAACTTGAACATAAATCCTTAAGTTCTATCCCCTTTCTGCTTATTTCCTAGGCCCGGCTTGCATATATTATAAATGCGGAGCGACATTATGAAATTTCCGGTAAATTAGGAATTGTCAATTTAAGGACCCCATCCACCCTTTAGAAAGGAATCCGCCCACGCCAGACTTCTTAGCGCGCGCGGCAAGCCTCTTACTTAACGCGTTGCACCGCTTCCAGAATGTTGAACAATCCGTCTTTGCTTAAAACGCGTGAGGCGAGTAGTAATCGCCTTGATTGATGTAAATTATTAAAGTAAACTCGGTCGAAGGAACAAAAACAATTTAAGCACTGCATTCAATTAAGTCACACTCGTTTATAATTTGTTATTAAATTTCCACATGGATTCCATTTGGAACGCAGTAATTGCAAAACGCCTTTGTTGGATAACCGACCGAAGCAATGAAACATACATACATACATCTTACTTGCAATTGCGATGCAGACATTTTCCTATTACAGTATGCAACGTATTATTATGTAAGCAAACCTTTGAATTATCTCATAAAATATTAATTATATTGCGGAGATGTATGATCAATACCCCATATTAATTATTAGTTTTTGTATACTTCTTTTGTGCAATTATGTGCCTTAAAAATTTAAGGTACGGTCTCAAAAATACTAAAATAATATTTTTACAGTTTTATAGAAAAAAAAGTTGTACAGGTATGCATTTACAAAGATTGTTTAATTCATTAATTAATTAAACAAACAATAATTAAACATAATTAATATTCTAAACGTACAGAAAAGAAGCATTCAAAAAGTTTTAGTATATAATTTAATTATAGCGGAAATACTGCCCTTTCTGCAATAAATTTTATTTATTATTATTTTAATTAATTAATTATTATTACATACTTAAAAGAAGAACGGAAAGGCGCATTTTTTTCATTATTAAAAGTTTGGTTGCATAAATTATGTAATCATCTTTATAAAATAATTAATATAATAATTCTGGGAAATAAATAATAAAATCGTTTAGAATTGTGGAAGAAATGGACTAATCTCTATAAAGTATGGATATTTATTGTGCAATGATGCAATAACAATTATTTTATACGTGAACGCAATATAACGCCAGGTTTACAACTTGCATGCACGAGTATCAAATATACACTAGACATTTTTCTACAAAGGAAATTGGATAAACTGTTTGAAATAAAAATACAGATGGTTTAATTCACATGAATTAAGTATAATACGTTAACGTGTACATGAAATTTCCGTGTATTCAAAATCAATACATTTCCAATAATTTAATTTGAATACTAATCAAGTATACGTTCAGATATATTGAAATATTTATTAAAATCCTTTCAAATTATGTATTTAAAATATATATTATATAAAATATGCAAGAAAACCAAAAGTTTTAATATTTAAATATAACCCTTGACGAGTTAGGAAAGAATTTTATATTTGTGAATATTATAAAATTCATTAGGAAAAAATATATACAATTATAACATAGTTTGTGACTAATTGTCGATTTTAAAAACACATAAAAAGAAATTTGATTCTATAATGATATGTTTTCTTTGTTTTTAGAATATAATAGATAATAGTGTATTGATAATATTACAATTCCGCTTAGTTTGACAAAATGTTGGGTTCATGAAAAATAGTAAAATTAGAATTCAAGAATACAGATTTTGACATTACTAACTGATGGAAACATGGAAGAAATACATTATTATTTGAACTGTTATTACATATTAGATTTCAAGAATAAAATAGGAAGGATAAAATGTATTAATAACTTTTTATTGAAGTTCGAGAGTTTTTTTTTTAATAATTTCAAAATGAGGATGGATAAATTACAAGAATAATAAGTTAATGAAACACTTCACAAATTTTATAATAATATACTCTAATTAGTAATATAACAAAAGTGCTATATGATATATGAAAACTAGAGGTCTTTTTGTAATTCTTGATACTTTACGAAACGTGTAATGTGTAATATAATTAATATATTAATTACGCAATTCGCAAACTGCGGTTTATCGTAGAATACCATAAATTTCAATCGATATCCAACAATTTGAGCATTTTCGCATAAATTCCAACTGCCGGCAGGTATTAAATATTATTTGAAAATTTCGCCGGATCGACCGGTGCACATATGTGTATTTCTAATATGGGGGGATTAGCATAAAGTGAAATTTATTCAGATTTTCGTGAATGCTAAATTCGCGAAGCGCATGGTTCTGAGTGTGTGTATGTATGTATGTATACACGAACAAAGCCTAGGTAAATTGGAAGTTCTGCGGAGTTAAACGTCTACCTCACGGATCTACAATAGAATTCACTACCCGCTTTACTCGCGATCCGTCTTTGTCACACATCACAAAAAAAACATTATAATAAAGAAGCCAATAGAGGTATATGCAATAGAAAATAATTGGATTGCGGATGACAAAGAAGGAATTCTGTAAGAAGTAGTGTTGCTGCACGTCACTTAGAATTTCATTACAGGTTGTTTTCTTTCTGGAAGAAACGGACGTCACGGTCCGAATAGTAATTAACTTTCGTCGATTAGCAATTAATTGCCGGCGACTTCTGCGAACTGGAATTCGGCATTAATTAAACTTTGTTTCCAATTACCGAACAACAAACAAATTGCCAGTTTTATGAAAGCAATTAATCGAGGATACCGTTCGAACGGTCGAAATAATAATTTACGACATGGATTCGACGATGTCCTGTAATATTGGTAGTAGTTCCAGTTATCACCCCGCTTTTTCAAAGTATTATTTATAAAAAGGAACAAATTAATTTAATTCTACCAACGAATCTTTACAGATTTAGAGAAAATCAATGTAGCTCAAATGAATGAATAATGTATCTAATTAGTGAAGTCTCTCAATTAAAACGTTTACACTAAATAGTCAATTGTGAAGAATTAAAGAAACGGCTCTCGTTTAAAGACTCACCCCGTCCTGGCGAAATTTGCAATGTAGATCATAACGGCTTCTGCTAGCGCTAATTCTGATCTTGTGTAATTTCTGGGGAAGTGGTTGAATCCATCGACTAATGGGGCACCGAAAATGTATGGAAGTTCCTCCCCGTGTACAGTTCCCATGCGCTGAAAACAGAAATATAGTACAGTATAAATCTACATGAATGTATGATCTCAATTATAACGATTTGAATTATAAAGGCATATGTGATGCGACATTTGCACCTACTGCAATGTTATAGGATGGAAATGTAGGGAAAATGGTGAGGGTTAAACAGGCCGGTAGTTATTAACGGCATACTGTAATAACATGTTTCAACTAGGATTAGTGATTTAGCGACGTTATAAGAGGAATTTGACGAGCATTTGCCTGGCACGTCGACAAGAGGAGAATGATAGTTACAATTAGAGTTATTAGTTATCTAGGACACGTGTCTGGAAACGCACACGCCGTTTTGCGGTCACCGCACGTCTTCACAACATGTGCCCCAGAGTCACCCCACAGAAACTATTTCTCATAAACTCCTGGATTATCAATGACCTTTTCACACACTATATTAAATAACAAACAATTAATCCAGTAAACAGTTACATCGTTAACTTGTCTTACTGATTCACAATCTAATAATATTACTTAATCGACAAGATCAATTTTAATTTCGATCTAATTTCTTACATAGCAAAGTTTCACGATAATCTTATATCTATTTCTCATAAAACCCTAGATTATCTATTATATTTTCATGCACTATATTAAATTACACAGTTAATCCAATAAACGTAAATTTGTCTTCATGATTCTCAATATAATAATGTTAATCAATCGACAAATAAATCTCATTTAGCAAAAAAGTTTCGTGTTCCTTATAAACTTTTCTTCGAGATTCCAAATAAAATAATGTCTCTCAATCCACATGACTTATGCTCATTTAGGTCTAAAAGTTTCGTTATAATTTCCTAATCATTTCTCTTATAGTATTGGATTATCACCTATCTCTCCACACACTATATTAAATAACTAATCCAATCCAACAGTTACATCATAATCCTGTCTTCCTGATTCACAATCTAATAATATTGCACAAACCGACAAGTAAATCTCATCTCAATCTAAATTATCATGTAAAGAAGTTTCGTGATAATTTCTCATGAAATTCTAACATATATTTCATAATTTACAATTAAATTTTTATTTTGTCGATTGATTCACAAATTAAATTGTAATACAATTAGTATTCTTTAACTATTTCTTATGCAAATATTATTGATAGTCTCCAATGATCTTTTACATACAAAAGTTTCCTAATAAAATTGGTTCAGGTTATTAATTAATTATTATTAAACATATTTAATATAAGTATAAAAACTGTGAGATAATATTGTCGGATGAAATAAGATTTGAAATAGTAAAAGAAAAGTCTGTCTAGACAAGACAACTGATAGTGTGCAAAAACATTTGGAAGAACTACAAATATTTGAGCTTTTGCCAAATGAAAAGGATCTTTATGTTGACGTCTTTCTTTATACATATTTCGTCGCCTTCTTTCTATTTGAAAAATTTTAATATCAAATACTAGAATTTAGGACAATCTAGTGTTTAGGATGCATCTTGAATTTATCCAGAAACCAGTTTAAAAGAAGACATTAATTGTATAATATAGAAAAGATGTGAGAAATTTCTAATGAGAATCACAATGAGTTGAGTTTCAGTGCAGGAAAATACAATTATCAAGTTATTTAAAGTCAATTTATATAATATTTTTAACGTCCATTAGTTACATCCAATAATGAAAAACATATTAATTGCATGTATGATAAATGAAATTGAAGCTAGTTAGTTTTTAATTGAATAAATAATTTTGTAAATGGATATTATCGATTGTATACAAATTGCGTACATTTGACGCATTTTAATTGATATATTAATGAAAATTGTTGCAGAACGTTGTTATTTATTATTAATAAATTTAATTTGTGTAATTATTGCAGCAACGTCAATGATTAAATGCCTTCATTTTATTTAAATATTCCATCAATTTAATTGTTGGATATGGATATAAATGATGGAAATTAAGTTTTTTTATGTAAATCAAAACTAATGCTCTAAGAAATCTGTAATAACAAATACGGAAGATCTGAATCCTCGTTTTGATTTCCATAAAGTTATTTGCATCAAGATTTCCTTTTCCAAAGCTCTCTGATTTATATTCATACAATATGTTACATCTATATAGGATACAGATCCAATATTTTATTTCCTTCATGCCCAACTTAAAAGTAAATGTCCTATATAATAGCAATTCTGTATATATTTTTTTTTATTTTAAGCTACATTTCTAAACATATAATAATACTCCTTATTACCACAAGAATTAACTTTTACCCCATTTGGGGTAAAAAAAATAGAATGTATTATTAGATATATTATTTTGTGGTTTATTTGTAAGTTGTTAATGTCTATATTATATAAATTAAATAAAATTGTTGAATAAATTCTAGGTAGAAAATAGGACGATATAAATTACATCTGTTCATAAAATTCACGTGCATATATTAATATATTAATTTGAACATAAATATTTTTTTTTAATTATGAGTTACAATGGGCAAAACGGGTTAGAGATCCCGTGTTACGCAACCTGGCTCGTGTGTGCGCGAGCCATTATCCCGGGTTTTAATTAAAAGGGCCATGAATTTAATTAAATTAATTAAAATAATATGTACAGCGGTTTATAACACGTACAGCAGGTTTCCTTTTGATATCAACACACAATTAATGCGAACTATCAGCGAATTTAAATGTCCAAGTTAGATTTTAAATGAGGATAATTCTTAGATAGACTAGACAATCTTAATCACGAATGTTTGATGTGAATATAATGGATGTTGAGGTAAATAAAATCTACTGGTTTCCTAGGATGGATCACTTATTTTGAATCAATTTTAAAGTATGTTATTAAAACTATTGCTAACACATTGTAGCTAAAACAAAAGTAAATTGAAATGTAAATATAATGGTCTAATCCAGGCTTGAAGGAAATAAGTAAAATTAAGTAATAAATTTATAAACTTGTTAGACAGAATTTAGCAAATAAAAAAATTGGAAAGTGTTTGAATAGAAAATGAGATAGTTTTACCTGTGGATAGTCGCCGTCTTTTGTTTGATAATCGAAGACGTAGAAGAACGTTTTTGGTCCTGAGGGTTCTTGTCCTGGTTGCGGTGGTTTAGCACTCAACAAGTCACCAGTTTGGACCAAAGGTGCAACGAATTGGGCATCGCTGAGAGCAGCGACAGCCGCATCTCTCGTATTGATCGGATGCTGGACAGTTCGTTCCCAATCAGTGTACTCGTTGACCACGGTAAAGAATATTTCACTCAGGTGATAGGTGTATGCGTTCCGAACGTAGGTCCTTACGATTTTATCCCTTCGCTCTCCCTCGAATCCCGCTTGGATGTCTGCGGCGGAGAACCTCCAAAGTGCTTCACTAGTAACAACCCCGAACAAAATATCGTACGGGTTGGTGCCTCGCGGCGTTAAACTTGCCTCACTACGTTTCATATTAGCATTTACGGGACCTACGAAGTTTTGCAAATCGGAAGGCTTAAAATAAGTTAGCAACTCTTTGGCAAAGTCTGTTTTGATCACGACACCATCCACACTCGGTCCGAAAGCACTAAGATATGCCGGAGCAGTCACGTCTGCCTGCAACAGATTCTCCAACGCCGTATCACGTAAACAATCCACTATGGCTTCGTGGTCTTTCGCAACATCATCCGGAATCGAGCAGTTCACTTCTTTCGCCAACTTTACTGCATAGTTGACGGGGTCTTCGACCAAAGCCCAAGAGGATAACGCGGAGCCAGACAGTAGCATTGTTCGGTGGAAAAGTCCTGGCATGACGGTCGGTGATATCATTAGGAAATTGATGCACGCCGCACCACTCCCATGTCCGGCCAGGGTGACGTTCCCTGCATCTCCACCGAAGAGAGCAATGTTTTGCTGAATCCAGTGCAGCGCTGCGATTTGATCCATTAAACCGTAATTCGCAACACGTGCCTTCAAGTGCGGAGCGGGGTTCGCGTTGAGGAATCCTGAAAACAGAAAACTAGTTGAAGAACACATGTTGTTCGGGATATGGGATTCGGGTGCGATGTAGACCTAATACAAGGCATCAAAAGACGGTAATTACATACCTAGTATTCCCAAGCGGTAATTAAGGGTAACAACCACGAGATCCGCGTAAGATGCTAAAACACTTCCATCGTAAGGATTTCCCGAGTTCCACTCGAAAGACTCTCCGTGTATATATACTATAACTGGATGCCTCGCTTCTGCACTCACTGCAACAATAATACACATACACACAATTAGAACGCATACATCCAGAGCAGTCTCGCATCTTTCATTTAAAATAAAATTTAATCACTTGGAAATACGAAACACACCCTACATTTGTTCTACTACTTTTCATATTTTAATTAACTATGCTTAAAGCAAGCTGCAAATTAAAATAACAGTCGTAATGCATAACGTAGCATTAGAGTGAATAGGGTATGATGCCATTTCCCTGTAAAATATACATACGGATCGCGTATTCATGCAGTTTTATGCTTTCATCATGTATTACAAAAGAAAAAGGATGAACAAAAATTCTGAACATGAAATGGGAATTCCGTTAAAAGGCCAGACACCCCTATACATCTATAGATACGTGGCCATTATGAAACTATTCAGGTTTGTAAAATCGATATTTCCGTATTGTCTGCAAAGTTTATAGCAAATATGTAAATACTTTAGTCCTTTTCTTCCTCCTTGCAGATTGATGCTATAAAATCGAATTTACTATATCATTAACCATTGAGCATTTATATTTATGGTAGTAGAAATTCGTAATGAGTTGTAAAAGCTAATCGAAGTTTGAAGGTTGTGAGGGAGTAGGGTGATCCAGCCTCGAGGTGCAAGTTGCAAAAGCAATTTGCTTATTGAGTTTTCTAAATAAACGTTCGGGGTTTTGCAGTAGGCGTGTTGGTTTGGTGCAATTAACTCGGTAGAATCGAGTGTCCCACGGGAGACAGAAAACTAAGACGCGAATTTTCAAGCGGGAGGATGGGAGGAGGACGCGACTCGCCCTAAACCAGAAATAGAGTACTACATCTGTAAGGGTTGCGGAGGTAATCTGCGCGATTGCCCGGAGAAGTTTTAATTTAGTGCCCGGGAACTTCTGGCGATTAATTTATTTGTCCAACAAAACAAAACCCAATTTATAGTAAGTTTCCTGGTTCCACCTACACTAATCCCAGGACATTTTTACCACGTCCATTTTCCTTCAGTTTTCACTCCTAAATTAATACCAGACAATTAATCTCTGAAATATCCAGATCTTCATTAATTCATTATATTATGTATACAATATATTTATAATAAGTACACAATCGTTGTTAAATTAAAAAATATATCTGTGCATATAAGGTCATGGTGATCATATGACAAATTCGGTTATGAAAATTAAAGCACTGTAGGTAATTTACTAACATATCGCAATATACAAAAGGGAAGACACATAAGATTAATGATGTAAAAGGCGCAATTAATTCTCCACTAAGATTGTAATGGATCTTCTGTTATACCTTCGTCTTAAAACATGCGGAGGCTATTGTATTCCATCTAATGTATCTGTTTTAATATAATTTATTTCACACTGTCATCACAATTTTATATCACTATTAATTGTATTTAACTTACACCTTGATTTTACAGGTTAATACGGTATATATAAAGCTAATCTCTCAAAGCTTTAAGATACATAAATTTAACTTTATTATATATTAATTTATTATATCAATATAAGCCACTAAAGCAAAGGTGTTATGTAATCATTCTGAATATATTTTATTCATTGTAGTATAAATTAATAAATTAGAACTAGTATACACGTGGTGGTATGGTCGTAAGGAAATGGAACACTTTATTTTCATTCTGTGCGAAGGAAATATTGAAGAAACACACACAGTTTTAATATTTAATACCTTAAGTGCTCCTTCTGCTTAGAATGCTAGTGGAAAGTTTCGCTTTCTTTATAGGGCATCATCTTTATGCTTCGCAGCGAGACGTGTACAAAATTAATTTCTACAATACTTGACCTACCTTCCCCTATAAAGTATTAAATTATTGCAGATGTGCCAGATCTAATAATGGATTTACTTCAGATATAACCTTACAGGATGTGCAAGGATATTACTAGTGCAAACCATAAACGGTAAAGATTGCAATAGTAATAAATGTTTTATACGCCTCCAAATGAAGTGCCATGTCGTTCGCGCACTCAGTATGTGACGCCATCTACATTAAACGTGGTAACTAACGCATCATTAATGCAACTTCGGGTTAATTAGAGTAAGCATCTGCTCCAAGGATTAAACACATAGAAATATTGTTCTTTGTAAAATAGTTTCGGCAACATTTTCTTTTCTCCTTTATTTTTTTTTTGGGGGTGAGAAACGGAGGAAAAAGGAAATTTAATCTGGACTAATTAATTTTTACGCTAAACTAAATCCCAATCTAAGTTCCTCTTGTGCGGTCCATCACCGCGGACAACGAGTTCCGTTTTCCCACGCCATTTCATTAAAAACTTTACGGACGCTGCATTTACATTTGAACATTTTAAGCCCGCTGCATTTTAAAATATGCGAAGCTCGACTAGTAATTTTTAAGATAACCTTTAAAGCATCCACAGCACTCTGCAATTTCCATTTTTTTACATACATTTGACCGACTGTTTCTACTTACTCATTTGTACTCTCACGATTTTCAACAGTTTTATATAAAATAAAATTTTCTAAATGACGAAAATACAGTTGTGCGTTTTTCAATGTTTATTGTTAAAAAAAAAAGTTTTTGATGTGCTATGACGTTGTAGACAAAATGTTATATAAATAGTTACAACCTTGGGGACACTTTGCGACCACCGCTATTTATGTGTGATAAAAGATAAGCATAAATTACGACCGTTAAACTGCCATCAAGATAGAACCTATCTAGATACAAATTTCCGTTTAACACATGGCTGGGACCAAAATCTCTTTTTGGATCAACCCTACGTCTCCACCAATGAGACATTCGAACTAGCCTAAATTTACTTTTAATTTCTTTGTTCTATGTATATTTACTTAATCTTATTTATTAAGTAAAATACCTAGAATAGACATGTATATAGCACATATGAAATACTAGTATTAATTATTTTAACTGTACTATGATGGAAACCGCACTATTGGTATTACAATTGTTAAAAATATTAGTTGATATGTATTAACTTTAGTTATAGTATTTAAAAAAAGTGAATTTTCTCTTATTTACAATATCCTATTTAATAAGTGGGAGTTAAGTTAAGTTTTCAATTAGTTTTATTAATTGTATAATTGAAGATTATAATACTTGAGTACTTATTAAGGAGATTTGAAGAATCCTTAATCCCTCCAACCGAACAATAAATACTTCAGACTGCAACTAGAGTACTTTGTTCGAAACGTTATTTCTTGGCTAGCAAAGGACATCGCATCGCTTTGAAATGAAAAATATATTTTTTTGGACCGGTTTCAAGTATCGTTCGCAACAACTTTTATTCGCCTCTCCTTATGCAATACACTTTTGATTAAAGTCGATATTCGCATGCAACTTATAAATCCGTTACGTGGATTGATTTATGTTATCCGACGCAAATTGTTTCCCCTATTACTACTAATAGCTTTAGTTTAGGAAATTTAATTGGTCACAATATATCTTGACGGTGTTAGTCGACCCTTACCGCCAAATCCCAGATATGAACGTACAACAGAACATAAACTTCACATTATAGCATTTCAACCGTATTTTCTTACTGTTGTCTTTATATTTTTCCTTCAAATTTACTCACTATTGTCTACACTGGCGAAGAACTCCATAAATTCAAAGGTATTATATTTTATATACTCGCACTAGGAATAACGCTATTTGTGGCAAACGATTCTCATTTACGATAAAAGAAGATGAAAACTATATGAACATCAAAAGCAAAATATCAACAATAAGAAATATGATAAATATGAAAAACCGGTTTTGTAAGAAAATTATCAAATTTTTTAATGTATACGGTACTCTCATACCCCCTTCATCAGCTACTTAACTGATGTCTAGGACATTAAAATCTTAAAAATACATACATTTATACAATGTGCTGAAGATCATCATCAACATCATAGTTCTTATTTTGTTTTTATTAAAATGTAAACGTATGAAATTGATGAATGAACATGAAAATTTCTTGAAATCCATTTTCATTTATGTTAGAAAACCCATGTGAAATTGTGTGTGATGGTAGAAGTTTATGTGTTTGTAAGGTAGACATTCGAATTTATATGGAAATTCGATATCAATCGGTGGGCAAGCCGTGTCGCAGTTCCGGCCGGAAGTGACTTCCGTTGGCCCAGCAAAATCCAATTCTATCGCCTGGAACAGCCGAGGAACATTCCATCACCTCTTGCTGCACCCTCCTTCATTACCAGTTTCACGTATTCCATCGACGCAAATCGTTTTATAAACGAATTATCCCTTAAATTTATTACACTTTTTTTTGCACTCTCATCAATAAATCGACGCCGGTTTATCGTTAATTGAGAAATTGCTAAGATTCACTGAAACGCTCTATTCTATAATCATTATTCATAAATTTTTATGATATCGAATATTGTTACATAACAAATAACAAATTGATTTATAAATAGTATTTTAATGAAAGTATACGTCGATATATGAGATATACAAAACAAAAAAAACTTTGCAAAGCAAGATTGAGAAATTGCTGAATTCTCCAGTCACTACTTTTATTTATAAACCTGTAAACTTTTCGTCAAACTCCTACACCTTGGGAATACAACTCCGAAGGCTCGAAATAAAAAATATATATATCGGAGAAACTTTAAGGCTATTACTTTTCTTGCTGTAATTTATTGTTGAACGTCTCATATTTATTTTGTAAATATATCACAGAAAATCTATAGTTATCATCCTGATTCGCACAGCTCTAATTTATAAATATTAGTTATTATTAATCAATGAAAGATTATAACCGTATTTACAACAAATACATAATTGAAATGTTTGAATCTAGTGCCATTTAGTAACTTAGTAACAATTGCGGATTTCTTTATATATAAGATTACTTGGGGACCTCTGCTAACACTGTTTGATGACCATCGGTTATCACTATTTGAGTGTCCTCGTCTATCACTTTTTGGGGGCCCTTGACTAACCCTGTTTGGGGTCCTATCCCACCCTTAAAACAATGAAGATTATGTGGATTGTT